GTAACTCTTATTTTCCCGCCATAATCACTGCTTAACCTTTAAAACTCTTAATGGATACCAATGTTCGTGCAAAACGAACAAATTTCTCCCATGATACATTCAACCACTGTTCCCTCCAAATCAAATTACATCACAAAAATTAATATTCTTGAAAACTACGTTCAGCAATACTCGAGTACCGAAAGTGCGGTTACACATAAAATTGAATAACGATGTATTCACAACCTCTGTCATTATTATTCTATAATATCATTCAGCAATCACAAATTTTGCTTCTGCGAGGGAGAAAAATTCGTAAGAGTTCCAGCGACGAATAATCATCGAGCCACACAGATAGAAAGTTATTCTCGACCCGGAAACTTTTTTTCCTCTTCCCGCCGGTTTTGTCAAAACACCATTTTCATTTCAATGTATTTTTTGCATCGCTAAATATAACCCTCCGCTCGTCCCAGGCTTGTTTTGCTGTAACGGTTTGCTCATTCCTTCGATACGGACTCGCGTAGTGCAGAAAACAACCCTTTCACGTTTAGCCACGAGTGATATGCCGGTCAAGCCTGCATCAAGAGTCGCAAAAGCGAAGCGTGGCCGTCGCAGTTACGCTCGTGTTGCGCCACTTTCTCCTTTCGAAACCGTCTCGAACGTGAAATGTTGCGTTTCAAAATCGGAACCGATATTCGCGGCACGAGAAATGATATTTGTTGGCAAACGTACTGATCCTCTTCTCTCAATCTTCTTTCAGACTGCCTAAATACACGGCGCTCGCGTGGGAGTCTGCGTTCCACGTGTCTATTAACAGTGTCGCAGGATATCGTTGCGAAATCTGCGTGTCGTCATCGTTCTTGCGACGGTGTCAGCGGAACGACCATAGACTTTGCGTGCCGGACAGGAGAAATAGATATTCAAAAATAGATCCATATTAACAATAGACCTGTACTTGGAACGAACTGATTTCAGGAAGTATGTATATAAATGACACACTGAAACATTGTATGTTTTTCAGGTTAAGTATATGGACCGGTTTTTGTTTCGAGCGTTTGTCGGATGTGATTTTAAAAGTTCCCTCGGACTCACGCAATCGATATAGGTGACCCACTTCGAGATCGCTCTGCGTGGAACACTTCACTTTGGACAAAGGGAAGTCCTTGTTTCTGAAAGGGCGCTATGCAAAAGGAAGATGCTATAACGAATTGAGAAGCATTTGTAATATTCAATTTATCGAAATAGCACAACTGTACTGTGAAAGAAAATGATACTGATCTTACATACATTTCAGATGAAAAGAAAAAGACTCTATTGTGCACTATATGTGTTGAATTATTTTTTAAAAGACATACAATCAGTCAAAGAACTGAAATGAAAAGAATGTATTTAGCGCTGTATACTTTCAACAGAGAGGGTAGTAAATAAATAATATTTGCGTTATTTTATTTAGAAATAAGGAAAAATGAATTAATAAATGAAATTAGATGAAAAAAGTGTATATACAGCGTCTAAAAATTCAGCAGAATGTTTAGAAACAGGGCTTGAGGAATACTCCAAAGGTAGCTATAAGTTAATTATTCAAAATACTTTTCTCAAAATGAAACTTATTTATTCGTTTAATTGTCAATAAAGCAGATGTTGTAATAGTTTGTAAAAATGCTTGCAACGATTATTAGAAAACACAATTTTCTTCTAAAAATGTGTGAAAATACCGATCAGAATTTATCTCCGCAATATCGTGTCCCGTTGAACGTGAAATTCTCAACAAAGACGTTATCTAGCCATTATTATCGCCTTAGCAACACCTGTTCATCTTGTCCCAGGCACTTTTCAAACTATTATTGCACGGTGCAATTCAAATTACATAAGCTAGATGAATTTTTAAGTGGCCAGTTACGGTACTGTAAATCGTAGCGCCCGTTTCAAAACCGCCTCGACGCCGGGCACCAGTCTCGTTCAGTCAGTTGGCGTCGCGACGCCGCCGCCAGAGGTATCCGAGACGCACGTACGACACTACCGTTCACCGTTTCCCTCTGATTCGTCTCGCACAAGTGAGGATAAATTGTCGAAAGAGACACGCAGTAGTGGACCGCGAACAGTGTGAATCATTGGGTGTACTTCGATTGTATCGGAAAAGAAACTGATTGACGAACAAATAAAATCGAGGGGAAAATTGAAAAAAGAAAAAACGAAAAGAAAGAGCGAGGATCGAAATATTCTCGAGCTGAAACAGCTGACAGAAAGGACTCGTCGTCGAACGTATGAACTTCCGGTACAGCGTTCCGACACCAAGTATCGAGGCTCCTCTCGATTCAGATTACGAATTGAATAGCGCCATGTAAATTGTGTTAGTGTCGAGTCGGGTATCGATGTGCTGCGAGCTTCCTAACTTTATTTCAATCGTCCCCAGGAGAAGGAGGAGGGTTGAACGTGATCGTCCCGCTCCAAGGATCAGCCGTCCTCTGTACAAATGACGTTCACCAAGATACCAGAGGCGACGAGTGACGTGATCGTGTTCCTGGTTCGAGTCAAATGACGAACGAGCCTCGTGGTTCCTTCGATCAGCGAGAAACGAAGGGATAGAGGGTATAAACTGGAAGAGATCGGTTGTCAAGGCTGAACGACCAAGTGGTGGCTCACGTCGTTGGATATCCTCCTTCCGGAAGGAAGCGAAGAGAGACAGCCGGCGTTCGATTGATCAGATATCAATGCCGCAACGTGACAGAGAAAGGTTCATAAACGTTAGACCGTGAGATTAGTCGAGTCAATTCTCCGATTGAATAATCGTTTTCTTGACGATCGACGTGGAAATTATCGTTTGATATTTCACTGTAGATGCTCCAAATGCAAATTCCTGCGAACCTCCAAGGTTGCATCTTCGATGTAGTACCCCGGCGACTTAATTAAAGGCCTAGCTGATCAACCAGAGGACGAGGAATTCGAGATTCGTCTCGGGAGGAGAAGGTTGCGTTTCAACATCGATCTCGAGGAAAAAATTTTTCCGATTGAGAGGAAGAGAAGGAAAAAGTATCGAAGAAAAAGCATCGTGTTGCGTCGTTAAGTGAAAAAGCGGAGCTTATTTCTACGCCGGCGGTCAGCGAGCCGGCAAATTGAACGAGAAAGAGATTCCGCGAGCGGAGCTTTCGTTTTAATCGCCTGATCGATCATCGTCTCTCTCGAGTAGAGAGACTCCGCTGATACTGGTTCCTACGGTCTTTTGCAGCGCATTGCAACGCTATTCCACGGTTTTCGATACATTCGAATCTCTCCTCCGAGACGCTGTTCCTTTTTTCATCATCACCTTACCCGTGACGCACGCCGCGGATTCGATAAATCAGCTTGCTCTAGACGAGGCGCGGAAACATTCGAGCACCTGCTGCCTAAATTCGTCGACTATGTTTGCGAATACTTCGTCTATTTATTGCTAAGATGCATCCGGGGTCGTTGACCCGCTGCTTGTCGCCCGAATAATTTTACTCAGCCGCGAAATTGGAAATCACGCCACCGACAAGTTCACGAGATCAAAGGTGGAGGAACAGACACACGGTCAAGATCAACGAGCGTTATCGCCGGTGTGCACGTGGCTTCTTTTCGCCCACGA